CTCCTTCCACCAGTGGTGCCCAGTTGCCTTCTTCCTCCCCCTCATCATCCTAGAAGACTGCTGCTGTGATGTGGGGACAGTTCTGTGTGCCTTCAGGTCCCTGCATTGAACACTGGTCCGGGTGGTTTACAGACTTGAGCCTCACTTGTTCAGTTTTAAAAAGTTAAAAGTTTCTGTAATGTAATGTTTACTGTACTGTACAGTACAATGTTAAAATGTTAAAAGTTTCTGTAATGTCCTTAAAAATTATGTAATGTTTCTTTATGTTTGTGCAATATATGTTGATGCACTTTCTAAAGAGTTTTGTACAATCCAATGATCCTGCCTCATGTTTGCTGTTTTTAAAATGTTTTTCTATGTTATTTATAAAGTTAAAGTTTATAAACTGAAAGTTCATGCCTCATGTCTGCTGTTTTTTAAATGTTTTTGTTATTTATAAAGCTAAAGTTTACTGTTTAAAATGTTTGAAATCATAAACTGCACTTAATAAACCCTTTGTTAACCAAATTTGACTTTGTTCTGACTCTTTTTTAATTCATTGTTGTATTTTAGTCCCCCCATTGAAATGCATTGAATAGGTTTCAATGCATTTCAATTGGGGAACCGCGTTTCGCTTAGCGATGTTTCCTATGACGATTTTCAGTTAAAGATGGCAATTCGTTCCTATTGGAACGGATTATCCATTTTTTCCAATGCATTTCAATGGGAAACCGCGTTTCGCTTAGTGATGAAATCGCTTAGCAGCGATTTTTATGGAACCAATTAACATTGTTAAGCGAGGCACCACTGTACATTTAAACCTGGTATGTTTTCCAGCATTTTAAAGGGGGTTTGGTAGTTCTGGAAAGACAACTCCCAACAGAGGGTTGAAACTGCATGACACGCAAGCCCACATGTCATTATACAGCTACTGTCCATGGAATATATTGTCCAGGACATGGAAAAGAACCCTGAAAAATAGATCTTGTGTTTGTCTTCTGTAGGAAAGACCACTAAGTCAGAACTAGGAATCATCAGTCCTCTAGATACTGATGAACGTCTACTTCCATCTCACCTCACTATTGGTCAGGTCAGCTAGAAATGATGGAAACTGGATTTCAACAACATCTGGAGGGCCACAGGTTCCTCACTCTTGGCATAAATGCTTTATTGATGTTACAGATAAAATATGAGAAGGAAAGGAAACCATTAACCAAACAACAAAATAACATTTGTAAAGTATATATTGTGCGAAGGATTCAGGTTCTTACTGCTTACCTCCTCCGGTTCAATCAACTTGAATTCCATGCCTCGGCCAGTCCAGGCAATGAAGTGGGAATTTGAAGGATCATCCAGAAGGGCAACCAAGAACTGCCAGAGCTGAAGAGAGCCCCGCCGCTGGTATGTGGGCCCCTCACGGTACATTCCTGGCTCTTGCTTGATATCACCTGCACAACACCAAACAATGCTCTGATAATCTGATCAACCACTAGCACAAGCTAATACCATCTAGAAAAGTCCATATGCTTATTCTAGACCACACAACTGTATACGCACGCCACCTGTCCTTTCAGAGTTGCAACATAAAGAACGCTCAAATTCTCGTTTAAATAATTCTTCACTATAGCCTCCCTGTTTCTTCTGATCCATGGAAAACTAAACTTGCAGAGGTCACACAAGTCCTGAGAAGTATGATCTGCTTTTCAATTACAGTGTGGATATCTGAAGGACTCCATTTATATACAATACTTTGTACAATCCCTCATTTGGAAATGCAATGTATGGTTTATTTATCTGCAACGCCTTAGGATGCAAACTCAGCTAAGAGAAATTTGACAGAGTATTTGACTAGGACTTAAACAGCATGAGCTTTATGTAGGGGCTATGCAAATCCTGTGGATAGATGAGCTCCTCTCTGTCATATTCAACTTGCATACAAGATGGGCTCATATTTAGCATGGTTTAGCTGTGCATTAGCAAACTCTTTTAAAAAGCACTGGATCAATTGCAAAGGGTGGGGGAGGAGGGGAAACAACAAAACAAAACCCGACCAAAACCCACCACACATGACAATCTCAAAATTTTTAAGTTAACTCCCCCTCAAAAGCCAACAAAACTCAAATGCTTAACACAAGCCAGTTTTTAAGATAATCTCACTGAGCAGTGCACAAAATCGTTGGCTGAAAAGCTCAGAAGTGAGATTACAATTCCCCCTCCTGCTAATGATGACTGTGATGCTTGATCTTTGAGGGGGAAAAATCATCTCCCACTTTGATGCAAAGCAGTGGCTCTTCAGAGAAAATACTCTAAAGTTTTACACTATGGTAGGCAACATTAAATTCAACATTTATTGCATGAAATCTCTGCACACAGGGCTCCTCGTCACCAATGCAAGAGAACAAAGGCTACTTAAACTTACCCTTACACTACACATCAATTATCTGAACAGCAACCATTATTATTTAGGGTTACTTTTGAACCTACAGAGCAGCTTTCTCCAACCTGGCACTCTCCAGATACGTCGTGACTATAGCTCTCACCGTGCCAGCACATCAGGTGGAGGGTACCAGGTTGATGAAGGCTTCTTTGAACACTTCTCTTAGATTCATACATACAGTGGTGCCTCGCAAGACGAATGCCTCGCAGGACAAAAATCTCACAAGACGAATGGTTTTGGCAATGGGGCTGGTGACTCAAAAGACGAATGTTCCTATGACCATGCTTTGCAAGACGAATGTTTTCCGTTTTTTATTCCTGCCTCATGTTTGCTGATTTTTAAATGTTTTTCTATGATGTTTAAAAAGTTAAAGTTTTTTGATAGAAATTTTGAAATCATCTGCACAATATGTATGGCTTTAAAGAGCACTTAATAAACCCTTTGTAAACCAAATTTGACTTTGTTCTGACTCTTTTTGCCCATAGTAACACATTAATTAGATTTCAATGCATTCCTATGGGAAAACTCATTTCGCAAGATGAATTTTTCGCAAGACAACATTAACCGCGGAACGAATTAAATTTGTCTTGTGAGACACCACTATATAAGTAATCAGTAGACCAAAAAAGGTGGCTGGATATCTCTGTGGTTTAGATATCTGGCTGAGGAGCCAGAAGTTGGGAGTTCAATTCTCCACTACACTCCAGAGGGGAAAAACCAGCCTGCGTAGCCATGAGCAAGTTGCCCAGGCCCAGAGCTGCCCCCAGAGGAAGGGAATGATAGACCACTTCTGTGTATTTCTCTACCTAGAAACCCTGGAAAATGTCATCATAAGTCTAAATTGACATGACGGCATGCACATTCAACATTGTTAGTAGGTGAACCTTTGGCTAGTCCTTGCTGTCGTCTGACACACACCTTTGAGAAGCATCATGCATATGTGCATATTGGACTGGACTGGTATGTCTTGTTCATGTATCCACAAAATATTGTCTCTTGTTACGATAGCCTTGAGACATGGGTATTTAAAACACATATGCATCTATAGTACATGAACACAACTTAGGGAAGAGATAGAAGTAAAAAAAGGATGATTATTTCCAAAGATAGGTCATGATGAGAGACAGATGCTGCTTCTGCTGATACTGAACCATGAATATATACTACGTATGACCAGACATTGCCTATGTCCTTATTGCTAAATGGGAGATTTGCCACAGAAGCTGAAGAAATCAAAGAATGAAAACTGCAAGGTCAGGAACTCCCGGAATAAAAGAGAAAGAAAGAGCCAAGATGAAATGCTAAATAAAAACGCAGCTAGCATATGTTCCAATTCCCAGAGTACTAGACTGACGTACAAAAAAGTCATTTGTGTTTGGATAGGTCAATCTAATGTTTAGTGAAATTAGTACAGTAAGATTTAACCTACAGATAGAGAGTAAAAATTAGTCTTAGATAAAGACTAAAAATAATTTTAAAATAAAAGTGCAGCCATTACAGCTTGAACCAGAAGGACGGGAATCAGAAGTATGGAAATCACTATGCCTTCCTGATGCACATTTTTAACATTCGTGTTTTGGGTAGTTAAAGGCAGATCAGAATCTTGTTGGTTTACTGATGGGATAATGACTGCTTGTTGGTTGTGTGGCTAGCATGCACAAGCTGCACAAATGGCAAATTACCATTTGCCACAACTAGCTGTAGCATCTTCCACATTTTCTCTTAACAATGTGTAAATTACCAATGGGATTCTTTAAAAAAAATGCTTAATAGAAAATGTACCAGGGATATGCAGAGCAGATAGTTCAAGACCCTGACAAAGTTACTTTTCTGGACTCTTCAAGGGACCCTGGAATCATCTAGACACCACAGCTAGTAGCCATGCTGACAGGGAATTTGGGATTTCTTATTGTTAGTACTATCTTATAATTTTATGAAGATATTTTGCTAAGTCTGGATATTTATAAAGAACCAGATCCTGTGGCAGCCCAGTTAGGGCTTGATGCTTGTGCAAAATCTGGTTGTGAGCACAGTGCAATTTGTTTTAAACTTCAATACGGGGGAGGGGGCTCCAATACCGCCTTGTGAAACCACTTCTCTTCTGCACCATCCCTATGAGCCAAGAAGGCCAGGGTGACACTGGAGGCTCCCAGCCAGCTTTACAGATGTTAAAACAGCCCAACGCTGTTCCAGCTATCACTGGACCCTCCATTTTCTCTGGGATACCTACGTAAATTTGTTGGTGGAGCTTTCTAGTCTGTCAGCATCATATAGAAGTCTAGCCAAGAAATCTGTGCCTCTATTTCTTGTCACACTGCTACACTTTCTAGCGCAGTGGATGAGAGGGTTGACTTCAGCCTTGTATGAAGTCCTTCTTAAAATCTCCAACAAGGTCTAAATTCTGAGTTCATCCTGGATAGATAGTACTGTTACACCTTTAACAGAAGTGCTTGTGAGTCATGTGAAATGTTACATGAGCTTCTTGATTCCTCTGCTGCCCTATTTCAGCACTCTCTAGAGTAGTGGATGAGAACGTTGACTTCATACAAGGCTGAAGGCTGTTCTTACTGTTCTTAGCTAAATGTTCTGTAGGGCTTAGAAACCTACAGCATGAGAATAGTCCCAATTCTGTTATTATTTTAATCACCTTTGTATAGAATGTAGTTTCTAAGGTTGATACTACAGTGATTTTTTAATTAAGCTGTACTCTGTTTTCGGAGGTGCTATATATAAATCACCGCCACCAGGTTCAATTCACTGTTATGTGCATGTATCTCTTTAATTACAAAGCTGAAAAGAACCACTGGAAGCCCTTTATATTCTGCATGTGACTTCACTCATCAGCAGCAATAGCTAATGTTGTATAAATTATTTTTATCTCCATATTGGTGACGAGACTGTACCAAAATCAGCAACTAAACCAATTAACTGTCTGTTTTGCAAACCAGTTCTTCCAAAAACCAGAAAGTAGTGCATTTGATATGACATGGAATACCGATCCAAATTCCTTTTACTACAAAAAGCAACATTAGCCTAATTAGTAATTTTCCCCATAGAATACTTGCTAAGATTTATGTCTAGTAATGAGAAGAATATGGTTCATTTCATAAGAAAGCTGATACCAGTTAGCTATCCTCAAAAACATTTTAGGACCTCTACCCCACATGTATTATACATTTTACTCTTTAGACATTAGCTTTATTAGGCAAACCAATACAACATTCTGCAAAGCACGACTTTCTCTAAAACACACAGAAACCCTTGAATGGCTCAGTTGCACTTGTGTTCCATAATTCATCTATCCATGGATAAAAAAAGACAAGAGTTTGCATTAGTCATCAGTAAATTCAGAGTAGCTGCTTTCTGTTCTGCTCCGTTAATTACAGGATCAGCTTTCAATAAATCTCTCATAACAAGCTGTATGTGATCATCAAGTGCAAAGGAAATCCACCTATGACTCCTCAGAACAGCTAGAACTACAGTGCTTTATCTCTCCTGTGGGCGCAAAATATGCTAGCAAAAACAAAATGACATCCGATTGAAATGTACGCTTTGGTTTCTGAAGCCAAAGGTCATGTTTTGGTTGGGCATGAAGTGAAGCGTCCTGAATTGTAACACTGCTAACCTTTTCTTAACTACGTTGAAGACATATATATATCCTTATTCTATTCTATTTGATTTCTGAGTACTTCACACAAGGAAAAACACTGTCTTCACCCAGGATCTGAAACACATCCATGTTTAACATACCATCAAACTTCTCTGGAACAACACAAGTGTCATCATAGAACTGTCTTGGTCCCTTTTCATACATGCAACCTGCAATTTTAAAAGAAAGAAAAACTTATTTACTAAATGGATTTGGGGGAGGGGCAAAGAGGAGCTACAACTTGGGAGGACACATACATAATAAAATTCACAGTTAAACTACTTAGATATGCTGGATTAGTCACACTGTTTTAAACTGAAGCATCAGTTAACAAGGGAACATTCTACTGGAGGAGCTAAGCGCCATCCGTTGATCTGAGAAAAGTCCCCATGTTAATTGTATTTTTGCTAGGCAAATGAGAGAATGTTGATTTAAATGCTAAAATGAAAATATTCGCTCTGTAACGAAACTTCTAAATAATTACCCCACAAAGCAAAACACGCTGTTTATATACTCCCCCATAGGGTGCTTAAGGCACCCTCTGGGAAGTTTACAATTCAATTATGCAGGCTACACATTGCCCCCCCACACACACACACACACCAGCAAGCTGGGTATTCAATTTACTGACCGTGGAAGGATGGAGGGCTGAGTCAACCCCGAGTTGGCTACCTAAGCCTGTCAGGGTCAAACTCAGGTCATGGGCAGAGTCTTGACTGAAGTACTGCAATTTAACCACTGTGCCACAAGGCTTTCCTAAACACAAGGCTCTGCCATAAACATTTACCAGAAGACATTCTACTACACCATTATACAAAATATTAGAGACATGTCACAGGCCTTAAAACATGCATAATGCTAACCCAGTATCAGAACTTGAAGAAGTTAGCTTTCCCAGACTGCATCCTGACTGGAGGATTCTGGGAATTTTAGTCTGGAAAGTAACTCTTCCAAGCTCTGGTCAAGATATGATACTACATAGGAGAGCCTCTGCAAATCCAAGCAATGTTTCAGACTCAGATATTCCTTCCTCTTCTTCATGCTGAATTTTATTTTACTTCTCCAGTTTCTTGGCATGGCATTATGCAAGAACCTGGAATCATGATTTAAAATAAAATCACAGTCCATGACTAAACCTGCAAACTCTGGATCATTCTGTATTCAAAAAATAAATAAATAAATAAATCAGAATTTGTTTTCAACTGTGATTCCTGGCGTGTATGTAACAAGCTAGGAGTGGTCATAGCCTACCTCTCAAGAATTTGGGAGAAGTGACTGGAGCCTGCAAGCCAAGAGATCAGATTTGCAGAGGCCTGTCTACATATTGCAAATTTAGTTTGATGGAAGTAATCAACGTGTTCTGCCTCAAAAAAGATGTTCTATCACTGGAATTTTTCTCGGGGCCTACAATTGCACCTTTAGCTAAACACAAATGCTAAAGGAAAAACCAGGCATGGTTTTGAAATTAGTAAAAACAGGAGCCAGTTTTCAACGACACATTTCTCTTCATCTTATGTTAATAATCAAAATACTGCTAGACAAGGGATCAATCAAAAGCACATACCACATACCACACATACAGGCACACAAACTTAACTTCTGTTCTGTTTGGGTGAGCCAGGAAGCCCTCTTGCCTCATATAAATGGAATGGCAGCTAGGCACTTCTGGAAAAAAAGAAGACAAGGCGACTTAGTAGATTGTTTGGAATAGCTGTGAACTACCAAATACAGTAAGCTGCAGACAGAACAGTTAACAGATAAAAGGAGATGGAGAAAAGAGAAGCTGTCAACACATTGTTAGCATTTTAGAACAGCACGTGGAAAGGGGCGCGGGAGAGAGGGAGGAAGAAAGCTATAAAGCAAGGGACAGCCATCTCGTCCAATAAAAAAAATCTCTAAATACTAATTGGCACTTTTGGCAAACCTCACTAAATTATGACACAATTTGATCATCCAGTAAAGCCACCTTTATAGAACTATATTATTGCACAACTCGTTTGGTAGAATGATATTGAATTTCATTAATTAAAAGCCCAGCAGACAATACATGCTTCAGCGCTTATAGGAAAGAAAAATATTGTTTGCCACAGAAGACAAATAACCGAAGGATGAATTCTGCAGCATTAGATTTTTTTAAAAATAATGAAAAAGTATTTTAAATTGCTGCAATGTGCTCTCCCAACAAACTTGTCCACGAAAGTTTACATAAAAATATAATAGTCTTTATGGTGCCACATGTTTTTGTCTTGTTTTGTTTTGTTTCTTTGGATTTTGCCTGATATTCTCAAACTTGAGTAAAGTGATTTTTAAAATTTTTGTAAACATATAACTCAAATTTGAACAAAGGTGCTTGGAGAAAGCAGCCACAATTTGCACTGCTTATTTTGGTTGTCTCTGTTGCTGCTGAAGCTAAACCAGTACACATAGAACACAATGGACAGCTTTCAAACACATTTGATGCTCTAATTACGTATCAGGACCATACAAAGTGTTCGGATACAGCTTAAGATCATACAATTATTGGTCATGTATTAATGAAGGCTCATTTTATTTGTCACCTAAAAAAAGAAGTGTTATAATAATAATTTGTAATAATCTTAGAATTGCAGAGCTGGAAGGGACCCTATGGATCACCGAGTCCCACCCTTGTCAAGGAAGCACAACGGGGAATTGAACTTCCAAACTCTGGCTCTGCAGCCAAAGATCTAAACTGCTTGTTAGCAGTTCTTACCACCAGCAGCTTCACAGTAGATCATATGGGAACAACTTGTATAGTTATTAAGACAGATTCCATTGATTGCGACAGTAGAGAAACTCCAACCCAAATGCCAAATGTGCCTCCTCACCCTCTGGCAGCCCCCCCAAAAAACACACACACACATTTCCATAGAGATTCTTTTGCTGTACTGCCAGTGGAGAACCCCCCCAAAAAAAAACACACACACACACACATTTCCACAGAGATTCTTTTGCTGTACTACCAGTGGAGAACAAATCCAAGTGCTTTCCTGCCTCAGTGTCTATCTCCCTTCCTGATTTTCCTATCTAGAGGAAATACTCCCTGATAGGAAGATATGTGTCTTCCCCTACCTGTCTCTCCAGGAAAAGCTCCTGTTATTCTTGTTGTGGGGACACAGAAGGCGCCTCCCGGAAGTATGTGAGGCTTGTGAACACATTTGGGTCCCCCGGGCAAGGACAGCACCCTGTTGGCTGAATCTTCCACCCTGGAAGCACAACTGGATTGCTTCCGGCACAAACAAAGAAGATGCAGACCTCAGTCACAACAACTAGTTTCAGGACACAGGAATACTTCCAGCTGTGCCTTCTTTACACACCATAAACATTTTAAAAAATTACTTCTAATATCCTTATTATTGTTAAAGAACTAACAAATGGATATAGTTCACAAAAACAAGTGATACAGTGTGGCCCCAATTAAATTTTTCACCCTGTAAGTCTATTGCTCTTGATGCACAAGGCAGAGTAATGCCTGCAACCTAATGACTATATGTTCACCAATATCTGCAAGTGCCCACTATGCATGAGAAGGTGGCTCATTTACCCTCCCAGAGGAATTTATTCGTAAGAAGAGTAAATGAATCCACTGTAACCTGCTCTGTCTACAAAGGGCAAGAGTTGACCAGCAGGCACTGAAAAGCTCTAGCTTTAGAATTTACTCCCATAATCTGAGGAATTCCTCTATTAAAGAAGACCACACCTAGAAAAAATTTAGCTCTCTCCTGGAACCAAACCCTTTTACCCTCCAGCTTTTGAACATCTAGCCATGGCCTTGAGATCTTGGCCTCCTACCTGTCTTCAACTCCATGATCTGATGCTGGAACTCAATATTTGGGACATGTTATTTGCTTCAGCCTCTGTGGTATGGTAACTGGTATTCCTTGGCCCACCAATTCCCAAATCTGCACATCTGGACCCTTGAACCCTGCTGGGCTCCAACGCTCACAATGGACTCATAATTGGGGTGCTGCTTCTCTCCCTTTGACAAACAATTCTCTATACAATTTTTATTTCATTATTTAAGAGTTTTATGCAATGGATTCCAGGACATGTTGCATGAACTCTCATGCACACTGTGTCTTTATTTTATTGTTATTCTTCCTATACAATCTTCTTGCTTAAAGCCAGCAAGGTAATGCATAAAAACAATGAAGAAATTATTTAAAATATTAAAAATATGATAAACACTAGAAGTTATTTACACTTCAGGCTCTGGCCTTTAATTTTTAAGGTCATTTCTGCCAACGTTATACATACTTGCTTTCTTAAAACAGTAATTCCATTCACTTATACTTGGATACAGCATGATTTACCTGCTATGAAAATCTGGATCTGAATTGGTTTTCCTGTGTTGTTACAAACTCCTAATACAGTTTCTAACAAACAAAAGGTCTATATCACACATGCAGCATATTCCTTTGTATGCTTACTTGGAAGTTTGATTCCAGGTAAGCATGCACACAGTGCCTTATTCTAGCATTTTAAGCCTACCTGGTAAAGAGGTAAAATACTATTCACTAAGCCACTGCAATCTGTTCTTCAATTAACCCCCAAGGAATCACAAAACAAAACAAAAGTAAGAAGACAGGAGGCTCAAAGATAATTTGCCCAGCGTTGTGTGTGAGTGTTTTCCAAAATGCAATCCGGAATTTCACTGTTCACTGACTAATGATGAATATCAAGGACTTGGAAAGGAAAAGAAAATGAGATTTTACACTGAATTCACTAAGCAAGTAAAGCTACTGTTAAGAATAAGAGTTCATCTACCCATGCTCTCATTCCACAAACTTTTTTTATTATCCTTTGTCACTAGTATTTATTTATTTATTGGATTTCTATCCCAGCCATGTAGACCAAATGGGTCTAGATGAAGTGTGTCCTACATTTTTGGACCACCGATATTTCATGACTTGTTCATGTTATTCTAAACTCAAACAAAACAAAACAAAACAAAAGTCACAGATTTGGGACGGATTTTCATAGCATGGAGATGGGAACCCAAAATGCTGTAATATTTTGGCAAATTTATTGGTGTTGAACATCTTTAATATAAAGCCCTTCTTGCAGTGACAGTGTTGATACGCTTACCCATGTTTTATTGTTCTGTTCTTTCTAAAGAGAAGTTCTCAAAGAGTTAATTTGCCCTTTGTTAATCAAGAAGCCAGGATGTTCATCTGAATTTTATGTATCTTTTCTTCTCCCAGACCAAAGCACAGACAGCCAAATTTTTAGTAGTAGCAATTAAAATTAGGTCAATTATGGTTCTAAAGGAATAATCTTATATATTTTTATCTGACCAATTTTGGAATATATATATGATCCATAGAGTCCTTTCCAGCTCTGTGGTTCAAGGGTTGTTGTTGTTGTTAACTAGAATTGTAGTCCAATAGTATTTGGAGGGACACACTTTACTCGTCCCTTCCTTACAGCCATCTTAGCATTTTCTTAACAAAGTTTTATATTTAATTGTACATTTGCCTCACATACTGATTTTATACTGTGATCGGATTTATTCAGCTATACAGTATGTATGCTTGTGATACTCATTTTGACAATACTGAATTGACTAGCATTCTAACCCTTTAAAAAAAGCAGTTGTAAAACCATAACCACAGTTTGCAAAATTCATTATAACCAGTCTTGAGCAGCCCTCTGACTTCAAAAAAGTTCTCAGGTCCCTGTCAGAGCCACTAATTTGGAGCTGCTGGAGGTGACATGGAATACTCCATATATAAATAAATGTTGATTGGCTGAATTTAAAGCCCATATATATAAAGCCCATATATATTCCCTTAACAGGAAATACTTGAAGCTTTATGCTTCCTAAGCCACAGAGGCTGAAGGCAAGACAAGTTTCTTCCTCTTATGAAGTAACATCTTCATCTGGGCCACTATAGCAGGTACCATCCTGCCTGAGGGCACAGTCAGGGACTTGCAAGTTGCTTCTCCTTCTCTACTCAACAATGTCTACCTAGGAGTCCTCTTCAGATGTTCAAAATCAATGTTATTTACTCCAAAGGAAGCGTGCATAGGCTCAACTGTTCACAGCCACAGAAACTGTTGAGAGGGCTTAACTGGAAGTAGGAGTCTTAAATCTTTTTTTAATGCTTGATCATTTCTAACACACTTCTGATTTGATAGTTCTTAAGAGAGCTCATCTTTGTCCTACTCTGCCTGATCATTGATGGGGTTGCCCTCCCCCCCAAAAAAGCCCTATGCTGGAGTCCCTGTTCTCTTAGCACAATCTTTATTTCTTATGGGCAAAGTCCTTTGCAAAACTTCAAACTCCCTCAAAATCTTTCATCTCAAAAAAACATAATTATAAACATATTGTTTTCTGATGCAGTCGCTATAAAAAACAGTAACTGCCCAAACCCTGTGCTTGGCTTCCCTTTACACCAGTAGTTCCCAACCTTGGGTGTTCAGATGTTCTTGGACTACAACTCCCAGAAATCCTGGCAAGCACAGGTAATGGTGAAAGCCTTGGGAGTTTTAGTCCAAGAACACCTGAGGACCCAAGTTGGGGATCCATTGCTTTAGACCAGACCTGGGCAAAGTGCGGCCCATGGACCACATATGGCCCGAGAGCTGCTCCTGTCTGGTCCGCCCATGGCAGCTGAGTGAGCCAGAGATTCAGCTCCGGTCAC